TATAATTACATCTACCTGAAGGTCTGCTCGGTTACTGTAACCTTCAGATCTCAGCTGTATCTGGCCAAATCTATTAAGAAACGAATAACTAGATCTGTTATGGTGCAAGCATAAAAACTCTGCATTCACTATCTACTTGATCAAAGCAATCAACATTTCATTCCTAAGTGCCAGTGAACTACTTGGCAATCTTATGTACACAAACCAACACACACTTCTTCATTTTCCACCATTACATCAACACACACACTTTTTCACTCTCCACCATTACACCAACACGCACTTTTTCACTCTCCACCATTACACCAACACGCACTTTTTCACTCTCCACCATTACACCAACACGCACTTTTTCACTCTCCACCATTACACCAACACGCACTTTTTCACTCTCCACCATTACACCAACACGCACTTTTTCACTCTCCACCATTACACCAACACGCACTTTTTCACTCTCCACCATTACACCAACACGCACTTTTTTCACTCTCCACCATTACACCAACACGCACTTTTTCACTCTCCACCATTACACCAACACACACTTTTTTCACTCTCCACCATTACACCAACACACTTTTTCACTCTCCACCATTACACCAACACACACTTCTTCACTCTCCACCATTACACCAACACACACTTCTTCACTCTCCACCAAAAATCAGCATGCTCTGTCCAGACATAAAAGTACTCCCAGGGGTGGGTATAGAAGTGTGGTTTCCATAGCGTGTGGGTGACATTAATAATGAATGGAACCACCTAGCCAGCAGACTTAATGCAGGTGTGGGAAAGCGTGCGATTACATGCAGTTCTGCACCCACATATAGTGTGAATCTAGCTTTATTGCCATCATCAGTTTTTGTTAGGTTTTTTCAGTAATTAGTTACAAATAGATAACAGGTTCTTACTATTATTTAGGACAAATGGTATAAATGCATCACAATCAGATCTTTCAATAACATAGACTAGTAGACAATAGTAGAATAATTAAGTAATGGAGATGTGCTAAACTTCAGACTGCTGCAATCTCCACCCCTAGTCATTAGAATACTGTAGACCCTAGATGACAGGCAAGGTTGATCTGTAGACTGTGCATATAGTGAATGATAGTGTCTTCTGGTACAAATGGTAAGGGTCCTAACCTGACTGGGAAGGCCAGAGAATTTGTCTTTGTCAAATATGGAGTCAGAAGAGTTAAACAGGGATGGCTGGCAGGGTGTTTGGGGGTGGGGATGGGTTTTAAGAAAGGATAGCTGTAGGTAGGGGTGTGGAGCTAATCTGCTAAGGGTCAGTCAAGTTCTTGACCAGGTCCTTTTCTTGCAATGGACAAACCAAATATTTAGTAACGTGTTACTAAAATCTTTGAAGAGATTGTGTTACCCATAGGGAACAAATTTTAAATGTATTTACTAATTCATGGAGAATGGCCACATGTTTTATGTTTATTAACTGAAGAATGATCTTTTGCATGACGTGTAATAGGAAAGCTTGACCATAAGGCTTTGGGAAAAGTTTGCATTTCAGCTGTAAATATGAAGGTTAATAACCTAATTTGTTTTTCTTTTTTTTTTTATATCGTCACATTCCTAAAATTTTTTTTAATGGACTCGAGGGGCTGTAGATTTAAGAGATCTTTGTACAGGTTTTTGCTCATCAATTATATATAAATAGTTCAACATTGGTCCAAAACTTTGATTCTTGGGCATTCCAACCACATGTGCAGAGTTACAACCAGAAAAAAAATTAAAAAAACACAGGTTTGAGACTCCCAGGGTAAATTTTACCAGTATAAACAAATGGCAACCACCCCAACCGGAGGTTTAGTTGGTACCTACAGGTGTACCTCGGTTTACAAACGTCTTGGTTAATGTAATTTTTGGTTTACGAATGAAAATCCATTGAAAATAATGCCTTGGTTTACAAATTGTTTACAAATTTATTTTTGCAATACGAAGTGTATGTTGGTGCCGATTTTGCTGGCTTTTTTTTTTTCTTCACTATAGCTCACAGAATTAGCTGTCACTTTCCCCAGAGCTAAGAAACTAAAAGAAAACATTGTTTATTTTAACTCAGGGAAATAAACTAAAAGGAAACTTTCATTCTTTTAGCTAGGGGTAAAGTGACAGCTGAATCTCTGAGCTATAGTGAAGAAAAAAAAAGCGGTAATTACATTTAAAAAACTGGCACCATAATAAATAAAAAAAAAACGCGTGGGGTACCACCTCCCATCCATACCATGCCCTTCGGGTCTGGTATGGATTATGAGGGGAACTCCCACGACAAAGCCAATAATCCCCCTGCCTGCAGACCCCCACAACCACAGGCCAGGGTTGTGGGGAAGAGACCCCTTGTCCCCATCAACATGGGGACAAGCCCACCCTGTCCCAAAGCACCCCCTCATGTTGAGGGCATGTGGTCTGATATGGTTCAGGATGGGGGGGGGGGGCGCTTGCTCGGATAAGGGTCTGGTATGGATTTTGGGAGGGACCCCCACTTCATTTTATTTTTAAATTTTGGTGTGGGAGTTCCCCTCAAAATCCATACCAGACCTGTAGGGCTTGGTATGGATAGGAGGGGGGACCTCACGCCGTTTATTTTTTTAATTGCCGGCAATTCTTTTATATTTAGCTGTCAGTTGGGAACCCCACTGACAGCTGAAACAATAACACATGGTTGTCACTACTAAAATACCGCATGACTTGATAAAATAACTCATGCGGTATTTTAATAGCGTTTACTTTTTTCTGACCTTCAGAATGGATTAATTGGTTTTCAATGCATTCCTATGGGAAATGGCGTTTTGGTTACAAATTTTTCCCTATACGAAAAGTCCCGCAGAACGAATTAAATTCTTAAACTGAGGTATGCCTGTATTTGTATATATATGCATAAGCTGCAGAGGCCATGTCATGGTACCCCAGTGGCCTGCAGCCATAACACTATAAATTGTGAGAATCTTCAAAGTAAGTGCATTTATAAAATAATGGATAGATTAAAGGTAGGTATGCCTGGAGGGAGCCCACCCCTCCATAAAAGGTACAGGGACGCACTGGACACCCAGCTGTAGCACAATGGTATCAAAGGTATGAAGTGCATCCACTCACCAATTAACCAACTGTACAAACAAATGGCAAATCACCCCAAAACTTGGTAAAAAACTTTTTGATTCTTGGGCATTGCTACCACATGTGCCGTAGTGTGCCCTGAGAGCTTCAACCAGAAAGAAACAGGTTTGAGGCTCCCAGGGTACATTTTACCAGTAAAAACAAATGGCAACCACCAAAACCTATAACTGGCATTTGCAGCAAGGAGCACATAGAAGAGCAACGCATGTCAAAAAGCAACAAAGAAAAATTCCCAGCTCACTTACCAGCCAGCCTACAACAAACAGAATTGACCCTAACAGTTCTAAATTTTGCCAGTCTATGAGGTATCATGTACCAACATAAAAGTATTCTATAATTGGCTGTGCTGAATGAAGCAATTATCAAGCCACAGGCAGCCATGTCCTATATCTGTGACCATTGTTTTTGCTAGAGTGGATAGCTTATGTTCGTTTCCCTGTTTGTTATGAATAGGAGAGGGGTAGTGCCTTTGGCTAAAGGGACACTAAGACAAAAGCTCTCAAAATGGGAGAGAGACATTGGGGAACTTGGTAGTGGACTATATGCAGTTTTTGTTCTGTAGATATTGGAATAATTCCAAAAGAGGCACTTCTTGGTATGTCTTAGATAGCGTAGGGTGCAATATGGAAGGACTTGTGATTACTAGGGTCACATAGCCTTGTGTGTTCAGGTTTATTTTGATGGTAAGTATCAAGGGGTCGACTGTCAGGGCAGTATGGGGGAAAAGAACACCCTTGCTGCCAACTATTTCTGAATGGGAATAGAAAGGATCTAAAGCCCACTCAAAAGTCTTTTTGGGTTGTTATAAAGTACAGACAACCATTTGAGGAAGGCAGTCCAAAATAATAAAAGTAAGTGAAGTCAATGTTTGTAAATATTAGGCGTATGAGTTTAATAGTTTCATTTATATTTCCAAGGTGGTTGATCAGGAAGAAGTCCTGGTTGTCCCCCTTGCTATACGATTTTGTTTTTGAACCAGCTTATTTGCTTTTTTGCACAGTTGGGGAGGCACAGGTTAGGATCAGTTTATTGTAGTTATGCTGGTGTGTGAAGGCAGGAATCAAGCAGTTTGTATTGTAATGTCAAAAAGTTAAATTCTGCTCATCTTCATGGGACTGTTTTTGCATTTTTCAGAGGCCACCATTTGTATATAGATATAAAAACACATTATAAATACCTTTTTTTTTTTATAAAATATCACATTCCCTCTATTCTCAGCTGCATAAGAGCTGGGGGAGGAGAAGCAGCAGCAGCACACTGATCTTCCCAGTGAAAGGCTGGGCAAGTGGAAGGGGGGGAGAAGGGGGGGGGGGGTCAGGACAAGTCTAATCATTGGAGAGCACAGATAGAGAACTATGCTCTCATGCTTAGTCAGTTTTTATTATGAAAGCACCATAGAAAGCAATGTTATTTCACATTTCATGCAGATTGGATGCGGTTCAAAAAGCATCTAATTCGCATATGTGAACCGTCACTTACATTTCATGTTACTTCCTATATTTGCTTTTTTTTTTTTTTTACTATAGGAATCCAGCTGTTCAAGCAAGACAATACAGAAATTATTGAAACTGTACAGTACAAAGGGGCAATATATCATAGCAGCCAATATGATTGTAGTTTACTGAAGAAAATCACGTGAGTGACGATTACTAACTGGCTGCTGTGGATTACTGCGCTCTGCACTTTAGTCGTCCTATACTCTAATTTCACAAATAAGCCTAATGAATATGTCAGTTTACTTCTTATACCAGTATGCTTTGCTGTTCCTTAAAGGGACTTACTGGGACTGGATGCTGCACGTTTCTTATAGTATATACAATATTTACCAATGGGCCTATTTTATTCTGATTTGTTACACGTTTCTCTTACCGGATTGATATCCAGGAATGTTTCATGGTCATCTTGGTTAGGATGCATTCCCACTATGCTATTAATTACGGATTTATCCGCTTGGTAGAAATGTGGAGAAGAGAGAATGATAGGGGCACCTGTAAAAAAGATTTTTAAATTAATAAAAAGAAAAAAAATGACACACACACACACACACACTTGCTAAAAGTATTGGGACGCCTGCCTTTACACACACATGAACTTTAATGGCATTGCAGTCTTAGTCTGTAGAGTTCAATATGGAGTTGGCCCACCTTTACAGCTAGAACAGCTTCAACTCCTCTAGGAAGACTGTCCACAAGGTTTAGGAGTGTGTCTATGGGAATGTTTGACCATTCTTCCAGAAGCGCATTTGTGAGGTCAGGTACTGATGCTGGACAAGAAGGCCTGGCTTGCAGTCTCCGCTCCAATTCATCCCAAAGGTGATCTTTTGGGTTGAGGTCAGGACTCTGTGCAGGCTAGTCAAATTCCTCCACCCCAAACTCACTCATCCATGTCTTTATGGACCTTGCTTTGTGCACTGGTGCTCAGTCATGTTGGAACAGGAAGGGGCCATCCCCAAACGGTTTTCCACAAAGTTGGGAGCATGAAATTGTCCAAAATGTCTTGGTATGCTGATGCCCCAAGAGTTCCCTTTACTGGAACTAACAGGCCAAGCCCAACCCCTGAAAAGCAACCCCACTCCATAATCCCCCTCGACCAAACTTTACACTTGGCACAATGCAGTCAGGCAAGTACTGTTCTCCTGGCAACCGCCAAACCCAGACATGTCCATAGGATTGCCAGACAGAGAAGTGTGATTGGTCACTCCAGAGAACACGTCTCCACTGCTCTAGAGTCCTGTGGCGGTGTGCTTTACACCACTGCATCCGACGCTTTGCATTGCACTTGGTGATGTAAGGCTTGGATGCAGCTGCATACTATATATATATATATATATATATATATATATATATATATATATATACATAACACATATACACATATATATATATATATATACATACACACACATATACACAGACACTGTATATAATTATTATTATGCAGGATTTATATAGCACCAACAGTTTGTACAGCGCTTTCCAAATGAAGGTAGGCATTACAGTTACAATACAATTTGGTACAAGAGGAAACAGAGGGCCCTCTCCAGCAGCCTGTGTCTCCTACCTTCCCCTCTATTCTAGCACTAAAGCCTCAATAATTCTATTCAGCATTTGAGATCTTCGGAGTGTCTGCTACCTGTGTTTCTTGCTGCACACCATGGTACCATTCTCCGACTACTAAGCCCTGTTGTGACACTAAGACAGGAAAATGGAGCCACATCATGCAGCAGGGGTCATAGGCAACCAAACATTTTAGAGCTATCAAATGGCCAAGGATTTTGGAGGTTGCAGGGCTGGAACGGAGGGAAGGAAGGAGACATGGACTGCCAAAAACAGGAACCAGCCCTTGGGATTTTCTAAAAATATTAAAAAAAAACACCTAACAAGTTCACTTTAAATTAAACTTGTCATCAGGGAAAGAGAGAGGTTGTCATTTCTGACATCTCATGCTGGAAATTCTAGGTTCTTGGCTTTTGTCCTGAGCCTCTTTCCTCAATACTTTGAGTCACTGACTTAAGACAAGTATGCACATAATTAACCAGTGATCAAAAACCAAACATACAGCATTTTTATACAAACACCATTCAAGGAAGTTGCTGTATTTTTATCATGATAGTTTTGTTTGACGTTTACCCAAAGTGGGTGCCAAGCAGCTGGGTCTCCCTATGTGGGTGTACCCACACAATTCCTATTGCAATCCCAACATGTAGCAACTGACAGCAGCTGCCCTGTCACCCATATGCTTGTTTACATGGTTATTTTTCCTGTGCCTAGGAATTTTCCACATTTTTGGCATGCTACTTTATTCTAGACCTCTAATTTATTATATTTTCTTCATTGATGCAGTGTATAGCCTGGTTTAATAACAGTCTGTAATCATTAAAAAGGCACATACTGTATGATCCCACTTTATGAGAACCAACTAACTTTTGTTGTACACAAATTTTAGTGCATTATACATAATTATAGTGGTCAGCATTTTCATGCCCCTTTCTGCCTGGGTAGGGCAGGAAAATCCCAGTATACTTCATGCAAATGTGGATGACCTCAACAATAGTTTATGGCAATGCATTAGTTGAGCTGATTGAATTCACACTCGCTGGAGGCAGCTGCTTTGAACATCATGAGCTGGTAATGTACCACCCTTATCCTCGCTGAGGGGCATGAAGACCCAGCATTCTGTTTCTGAGTACTGGGTTCTAAACAGGTTGGCTTGCATATGACTCGTGCATCTCAGACATACCAACTCCAGCCAAATTTTTTTTCATTTTTTGACAAGAGTCTGTAGGGATTAAAACTTACTGTTATTGCTGTCTGTGCCCCCATTTGGGAGATTTCTCAGATTATTCCATCACAGGAAATAGTGGAAAATCTCCCCATATCTTGTCCTTTTAATTAGTGTTAGAAAAAAAAACAGGAAGGAAGGGGAAATCCTCCTAGCTGATGAAACAGACAGCAATAAAAATACCTACAAATGTTTAGAACCCCTGTCAGGATTCTACTGGCTTTGCAGGTGTCAGAATAAGAACAGAGGGAAAAAATCTCTTCAACAGGGTTACAAACCGCATGTAGAAGCTTGACTGAAAAATTTCAGACGCACAAATGACATTTAAGACTTGGCAAAAAGTTTTAATTCCTCCTCATTTTATCCAAAACTAAGACAAAAAGTTTTGATTTGAGCTAAACTATTACTAAACCCCCAACAGTAAAATCAATATGTATATGCAGTAAATCATGCTTGTTATACTCACTGTGGAACCTAAGGGGTTAATCCTCTGCATTGTGTAAAAAGGCCCCAATCCATCTGCCATAGTTAGAGCAGCAGTGGCAAGTCTGCACATGCTCTGTTTGGTGTGTATTGCTAGAGAGGTTTTTTTTTTTTTCTGGGAGGGTACATATGAGCAGTACAGGGCCAATCAGTACCGTCCAGACAGAGGGTCAGGGGTGATGCAGCCTCATAGGACAGTCAGAGGAGAATGAAAACTCTTCCTACAAGATTAACCAGTGCTCGGACGGGCGGACATTGATAGACATCAAAACACTGCTATATATTGCTGTTGAGAAAGGTAATTTAGCAGTGTATGTTAACTAAAATAATTGTATTTCCGTGTACTGTGGAAGACCAGATATAGTGAATGCAGGGTCCTGGGTTTAGTAATACTTTAAGCTTCAATTAAGCCACGCCACTGGGACCATGTGAGACTCAAGTAATATAATCAGTTGATTACATACACTCCCTCTGTTTTCTTCTGGCAGTCACTATACCAGTTCCATTCTATTCATTTCAATATGACTGGAACTGGTTTTAAATAATTCCATAAAATCATATCAGGTTAATTAGATAATGATCAGATGGGCATCTTTATTATATTGCTGTGCACACATTATATTTTTGCAAATAATTAATCAGATTTGATATGTGATGTTTAGTATTAGAAGATAAAATATTCCAACATCCTGTGAAATGTTTGAATGATCTGGTCACAAAATCACAATTATTTAGGGTTTGAGCTGTTAAAGTATTAATGTGAACTTTAATTTTTTTTTAAAACCTACTACGAATGTGCAACTTTCAGATCTTTTGTGACAAATGGCCATTTATTTTCCCACACCGTCTTTCTGTGGAATACATACTGTCTGCAGCTTCTTTAGTTCTACTGCATGGTAAGTTAACATACCTTGTTTGCATTCACTGACATTCAGCAGTCCCGACGGCAGGCAGTTTCCAGCGGGAACACAGAAACCAGCATTGTCCGGATTGATCGTTACATTAGCAAAAACCTTTGCAGGTGGGACAAAACGGAAGGCTAAAATGTGCTTTATGCTTCTTGTGGAGTCATAAACCGCATACAAAGATCTGGGGGAAAAAAATTATTATAGAATATCAAATCTAACTAAAGAACATTCTGTGTTTAAAGCTGCACTCTACTGTAGCTATAAGAAAGTAATTCTAAGCAAAGTTATGCATTTATTAAAAATATATAAAATTACTTTAATTACACTAATAAAAGTGACTGAAACCTGACAGAGGGCTGGTGGTATAAGGATTCATGATTCTTTATGTCAATGACTCAATATGCCATGTGACCATTCCCAAAAACACAGCAAGTCCTCACTTGTCCAGTTGTATGACAGCCAAAATAAGCACCAAATACAGTTACAATGTAATACACCAGCCTCATAGTAAACAAAAAAAAAAAAAAAAAACTTCCTGTACCTTCCCTGACTACACCAAATTCTCCATTTATGTTCATGCATTCCCCCTCCCAGACACTGCAGATCACAGTGGGAGGGTTTCAGCAACAACAGTAGCAGTGCTTTTAATACAGAAATCAGTGGGCAGGACTAGGTGTGGCCATGTGCTGATTGACAAGCTACAGGTTTGTGAATCAGCTGTGACAATGATACTAACCATGGCCTTGCAACTTTTTATATCACTGTAGTACAAGCAAGCACAGCTTACTTGGTGGCAACTCTACTCTAAATTCAGGAGCAGTGCAGCATCATTGCCACACCATTACATTAAACTGCATTAGGTTGACTTCACTGGCAGCATTAGGTTTTTGTGAACCTTGCATGGGGAAGTAAATAAAAACAGACAGTACAGATGCACACATAATTCAGTGCATCATTTTTTTTTATTAGGAGGCCTACTTTAAAGTTATGTTTAAAGGTTTATGTCTAGGCAAAAGTCTTTTTTTGACTTGGATAGCATAGAGTATGGTAAAAATCTGTTGGTTTTTTTTTTTAGGTTTCCATTAACCACTTCAATACCGGGCACTTATACCCCCTTCCTGCCCAGACCAATTTTCAGCTTTCAGTGCTGTCGCACTTTGAATGACAATTGTGCGGTCATACAATACTGTACCCACACTACATTTTTATAATTTTTTTTCACACAAATAGAGCTTTCTTTTGGTGGTATTTAATCACCACTGAGTTTATTTATTGCTTGCGAAATAAAACAAAAAACACCTGAAACTTTTTGAAAAAAAAAACAAAAAAAAAAAAAACGCACTTTTCTTCGTTTCTGGTTATAAAATTTTGCAAATAAATAAAATTTGTATTCAGAAATTTAGGTCAAAATGTATTCTGCTACATTTCTTTGGTGAAAATAACAACAATAATTGAATTTGTATTTTTTTTTTCAAATGTTTCTATTATTTTTATAACATTTTTTCTTTTTTTTACTATTTTATTTTTCAGTACACTGTGACCAAAGCAATACAATGTTACCATAGTAACACTGAACTACTCTGGGCAACTGATCAGTTTTTTTTTTAAAAACATTATGATTGCTAATGGCAATGTATTTCATTGATATTTGAAATCATTGTTACTGAATGAAACTGATTCATTCAGTCTTTTGTTGTGATTAGCTGTGATTGGGCTAAAGCTGATCACATGATACAGATGGGCTGTGATTGACCCTGTCTGTATCATGTGATTGCCTTGACCAGTCACAGCGAACAATTGTATACAATGGATGGCATGACAGGAATGCCATCCATTGTATACAATTGACATGTGATCTGCTGTGATTGGTCACATGACACTGGCAACGGGCCGGTGTAGTGATATGTCATCGGCTGTGTCCAGTGGACACAGCCAGTGATAGATCGCGCCGCTGTGTGGCCTCACGGCCAGCTCGTTTTGACAGGATGCCACCATTTGACGCCCAGTCACAAGGGCGAGTGTCCAGCCCGGCCTATAGCAGGTGTTAAAGGGATTTATCTCAAAGCTGAGCTCCATGGACAGATCATCACTGTGCTATACATACAGCCAGGTCCATAAATAAAGGGACATCGACACAATTCTAACATTTTTGGCTCTATACACCAACACAATGGATTTGAAATGAAACAAACAAGATGTGCTTTAAATGCAGACTGTCAGCTTAAATTTGAGGGTATTTACATCCAAATCAGGTGAACGGTGTAGGAATTACAACAGTTTGCATATGTGCCTCCTACTTGTTAAGGGACCAAAAGTAATGGGACAATTGGCTTCCCAGCTGTTCCATGGCCAGGTGTTTTATTACCTCATTATACAAATTATAATGAGCAGCTAAAAAGGTCCAGAGTTCATTTCATTTCAAATCCATTGTGTTGGTGTATAGAGCCAAAAATGTTAGAATTGTGTCGATGTCCCAATATTTATGGACCTGACTGTGGCATGAACAGAGACCTGAGCTGTGGCAAGGACCCAACAGGTACCCACTACATGCCTTCTGCAGAAAACTACAGAGGGGGCAAATATAAGGTCACTCACCTGCACAAGGAGAGTGAGCAGCATTAAGGCCTGGTTCACACTATCAAAGGTGGCTCGGGAATCGCAGTTTTTCTCGCACCCACACTCAATATGCTTTGCGGTTTAAAAATGCATAGGCCTGCCTTGGCATTCATAATACATTCCACTTCTTTCACAGAAAAAAAGTTTTGCTTGCTTTACTGCACACATGTGGATAAGACATAATCACATCTGCACTGTGAAGGATCAAGGACTACACAAGCCCCTTGTATTTAGACAATATCTACTTTGCCTGAAACCAGAGTTCAGATTAACCTTCCTGTTCCACAAACACAAGAAGTTCACTGAGAGGGAAAATCTGCTTTTACAGTTTTCTCAGAATACGTACCTCACTGGAAGATCTCTCTCCTAGAATTCTAGTGACATACAAAGGTCACCAGGACAAATAGAGAGGGTGAATACATCAATAAACAGATTTTCTCACGGCTAAAATCTTAGGGTCAGTGAAAGTTTGATGACAGTGGTCACCAGAAGAAATCGAGGGTCACTCTCCCAAAAACCTGACAGAGGTTCTAAATGTTTAACACTATATCTGTCCATTAAAGAGAAAAATCCGAAACTCTAGTTAACTTTAAAGATGGGGGTAGACCTTTGTCGTTGTGGCAAACACAAGACCTTTGATGTGTGCTGCGATAAGTGAGGCTCATTCATTTTGCATCTTGGGTTGCCAGCCCTTTAAGTGACTGGACCGTTTGACAAATCTGCATCCTTCTTTGACCACACATCATAATGCACAATGGTTTACATCCTGTGTGTTGTGATGCCCTTAAACTCAGGTCCATTGCAGTTCCTTGAAGATGTGCTTTGTGGTGCCATTCAGAATGAATAGTACAGTGGTTCACCACATTGTTTGCAATGCGGACATGTACATGCAGCACCTTTTGTGGTTGTAATGACTGCTATTGTTGGGATTTGTAATCAACTAGTTGCACAATTATCATGACAGTGGTCTTCAAACTGTGCCCTTTGCTTTTTTTATCTGGCCCTGGGGGTTATTTTTCCACTGACACCAATGAATTTTCAGCCAATGATAATGGCACAATTCACCAATCATGGAGCACAGTTGGATCCCAATTATACCAAGAATGGGGCCCAATGACACCAATGATTGGGCACAATTTCTCCCAATGACACCATCGAAGAGGCACAATTCCTCTCACTAACACGAAAGATGGAGCATTGTTTACTCAAACTGATGCCAGGTCATTTTCCAGTCCGGCCCCCCTAAAGTCTGTAGAACAGTAAACTGGCCCTTTGCTTAAAAAGCTTGGAGATTTCCTGATCTATGACATTAAAGTGGAACTAAATCCTCTTGGCCTTTACAGCTAAGGAAGCTGTCACCTTAGTCTCTGATCTAAAGTTTCCATTGTGCTGCACATGATCAGTTAGAACACCTGCCTTTTGATGGCTTGACTGTTCAGTTGAGATCACAAGCAACAATGACATTTATCATTCATAGAATGTAACGGTTTGGGGAACCAGTTAACTTGATACGTTTAATTCTACTTTGCATTAGAGCTAAGGAGGGGAATTAAAGAGAAGTGCAAGCATAATTCTTATATCACTTTTCTAAACACACATATTAGAGCAGATGCTGCTCTTAATTAACAAAAAAAAAAAAAGCTCCTTTTGTTAAATATGAGCAGTCTGTTCCCTGTTCTATGCAATATCTGTCACAGACACAGCACAGACCAGTACAGCTGGAGCTTCATGCTCCAAATTCCTCTGCTTCCAAAGCCCCCCCCCCCCACACACACACACTTAGCTGAATGCTGGAGGGCTGTGCAGGCTGCTGACAGTTCACATCCTTCACACAAAAGTCTACCCTTTTGGGGATCTGTGGAGGATTTCTATAATGAAAACTACTGCAGTCTCTTTGTTAAATATCTACAAAACCCCAAAAAGTTCCTATTTCATTCTGCAATAGAAACTGGTGTGAGTGGTGCAGACAGACATAAAACAGGTCTATTTACTTAATGTGGTGAACACCACTCCATCCAGGTTCCTGCACAAGTTTTTTGGCGAAGGAAGCTTAGTTAAATCTCAAGAATAACTATTCTTGTCAAATGGACTGCAATACTGTGGAATTTAAACTTTTTTTGTGAAATGGATCATTTACCAGGCAACTAGCATTTTTAGAAGTAAAACAATGGCAGCCTCCACATTTCTCTTGCTACAAGTTTCCCAATAAACGTTAGTGTTTGCTTTAGGCGTGATGATCACCTTTGGACTTTCAGTTCATAACATCCTCTCAACTGTTGTGTTAGTTTCTTCAAGGCAGAGTCAGAAGATGTGGAGTTGTAGTAAAATAGGACAAAAGACGACAGGGGACACAAGTTCAATGATAGATTGCAGTATCTTGCAAGATTAATATTAAATGTTTCCTCCTTACCTGCACAGGTCTGATGAAAACATGTAAACTATGTCATCTTTATCTATCAATGGGTGAAAAGATGTCCCGTCTGTTCCATTAATCATATTGCATGTATCTGAAGACCACCAAGATAGATTTCTGAGAAAAAGAAAATAAGCAGACTGTTAAATTATATTGTTCTAGTAGTGTCTTGTACGCAATTGTCAAACTATTGCAAGGTATTAGTTGTATTTTTTGCTTTTATCTTGAAGGCTAGCTACAAACCGTTACATTCTGGTCATTAGACGGTAGAAATTGTGGCAACAGTCTGCTACCTAACTGGTATCTTTAAGCCACCACTGCCATGGCGCACAGTACGCATATACTCAGGAGTCTTAGGGTGTCTATAGGGTTCTATACTTCAGTGTCTATAGGGTTGGTTCACCAATTCTACTTCATTTGTTATTTTATCACATAACTTTTGCATAGGTGTGGAATAATTTTTTCCCATACAGTTCACTAAATTCGCTCTTTAATCACTTATCACTTATTTTTTATGAACTGCATTTATATCACAAAGCAAAATTTTATTTCCAACAAAATGGCTCCTTTTAACCAGTTGCCCACCACCCTATAGTAGAAACACTGCTACAGGACAGCAGGGCTCTGCAAACTCACATGTATATAGATGTGATTTGCACTTTTGGGTAGGGGGCACGCGTGCGCGCCACCCTACCCGCGCTGCCATTGGCGATTATGGATGTCGATCATTGGGTCCTGGCAGGAGATTCTCCACTGGCACCCGGCTATTGCTGGGCAACACTGACAGGGGAGAGACCTGCGTGTAAACACAGGTCTCTCTCCTGCCATTAGAAACATGCTGCTTTGTATTCCTCTGCACAGCAGAGAAATACACAGCAGCATGTTCTCTAGTAAAAAACACACAGCACATGTTGTAAAACACAGTACAGCGTTAACCCTTTGATCGCCCCAGATGTTAACCCCTTCTTGCCCAGTGTCATTAGTACAGTGTCAGTGCTTTTTATTAAACACTGATCACTACATATAGTGGATATAAAAAGTCTACACACCGCTAATAAAAGATCAGGTTTCTGTGATGTAAAAATGTAAAAAAATTATACAATTATAAATCGTTTCAGAACGTTTTCCACCTGTAATGTGACCTATAAACTGTACAACTCAATTGAAAAACAAACTGAAATCTTTCGGGGGGGGGTAAACATACAAAAACTAAAATAATGTGATTGCATAAGTGTGCACACCCTCTTATAACTGGAGATGTAGCTGTGTTCAGAATTAAGCAATCACATTCAAAATCATGTCAAATAGGAGTCAGTACAAACTTGCTATCATTTAAACTGCCTCTTATTAACCCCAGATAAAAGTTCAGCTGTTCTAGTAGGTCTTTCCTGACATTTTCTTAGTTGTATCCTACAGCAAGAGCCATGGTTCGCAGGGAGCTTCCAAAGCATCAGAGGGATCTCGTTGTTAAAAGGTATCAGTCAGGAGAACAGGTACAAAAGAATTTCCAAGGTATTAGATATACCATGGAACACAGTCATTATCAAGTGGAGAAAATATAGCGTAACAGTGACGTTACCAAGAACTGGATGTCCCTCCAAAATTGATGAAAAGACAAGACAAAAACTGGACTGGGAGGCTGCTAAGAGGACTACAGCAACATTAAAGGAACTTCAGGAATATCTGGCAAGTACTGGATGTGTGGTACATGTGACAACAATCTCCCGTATTCTTCATATGTCTAGGCTATGGGATAGAGTGGCAAGATGGAAGCCTTTTCTTACAAAGAAAAACTTCCAAGCCTGGCTAAATTTTGCCAAACACATCTGAAGTCTCCCAAAAGCATGTGGGAAAATGTGTTATGGTCTGATGAAACCAAGGTTGAATTTTTTGGCCATAATTCCAAAAGATATGTTTGGTGCAAAAACAACACTGCGCATCACCAAAAGAACACCATACCCACATTGAAGCATGGTGGTGGCAGACTCATGCTTTGGGGCTGTTTTTCTTCAGCTGGAACTGGGGCCTTAGTCAAGGTAGAGGTAATTATGAACAGTTCCAAATACCAGTCAATATTGGCACAAAACCTTCAGGCTTCTGCTAGAAAGCTGAACATGAAGAAGAACCTCATCTTTCAGCATGACAACGACCCAAAGCATACATCCAAATCAACAAAGGAATGGCTTCACCAGAAGAAGATTAAAGTTTTGGAATGGCCCAGCCAGAGCCCAGACCTGAATCCAATCAAAAATCTGTGAGGTGATCTGAAGAGGGCTGTGCACAGGAGATACCCTCACAATCTGACAGATTTGGAGTGTTTTTGCAAGGAAGAGTGGGCAAATATTGCCAAGTCAAGATGTGCCATGCTGATAGACTCATACCCAAAAAGACTGAGTGCTGGAATAAAATCAAAAGGTATTTCAATAAAGTATTAGTTTAAGGGTGTGCACACTTATGCAACCATATTATTTTAGTTTTTTGTTCTTACTTCCCTCCACCTAAAAGATTTAAGTTTGTTGTGCAACTGAGTTGTACAGTTTATAGGTTACATTAAAAAGGTGGAAAAAGTTCTGAAATGATTTATCTTGGTCTTGATTTTTTCATCACAGAAACCTGACATTTTAACAAGGGTGTATAGACTTTTTATATCCACTGTATATCATTGGGATATCAGTGGCAGTTACCATCCAGTGTCAGAATGCCACCGCAGTCCCACATTCCCGCTATAAGTCGCTGATTGCTGCCATTACTAGTATATAAAAAAAAATTCCAGTATCTATATTGCCATTTGTCGACGTTATAACTTTCACGTAAACCAATTCATTTACACTTTTTTTTTTATTACATTTTGGCATAAATTTATGATGAAATTTAATTTGTAAAATCTTTTTACTAGGCATGTTTAATAGCAAAAAGTAAAAAATATTGTCTGTCGGTCTTTTTTTTTTTTTATAGCGCAAAAAATAAAAACCACACAGGCGATCAAATAACCCGAGGTATCGCCACCAACATCACTTTGAGAGCAATAATTCTAGCACCAGACCTCCATGTAACTCCAAACTAGTAACCTGTAAGGGCTTTTAAACCATTGTTTATGGAGATTTTTTAGGTACTTTCTGTGAGTACCAGACATGTGTGCTGGGAGCGCGCAGGGCGCTCAGTCCCAGCACATATGGTTTTCTTAATTGCACGCATATGTGTGGCCGCTCGGCGTCAAGGCCCAGGTGCAGGGAGGCCGCACATTTGCGTGTGGCCGGCTCCAAGAGGTTAAACATGCTGCAGAAATACCGTGTGACAAAGAAATTGCAAAACCCACCATTTTATTCTCTAGGCCCTCTGCTAAAATTATATAAATATATAATAAATAAATAGCTCTGTGGGGAGGTATTCCCCTGTCAGCACTGTCTGTTATTGCGTTGCAAAAATTTATTAGTACCGTGATTAAATGGAAACACTACTGAAAGCCCTCAATATGAAGCCATTTAAAAATGCATATATATGAGCATAAGCAGACCTCAGGGGAAAATAGCAACTGACCTCGGTGGCTGATTGCTACTCTCTTTCTCCAGCTAAGCTGAATCATTGTATATTTTCTTCCTGTCTTATTCATTTGGTAGGTCAAAAACGTATGCAGATGCACAACTCTTCCAAAACTTTCATACTGTACCAGCCAAACCCACTTTTTTCTGATGTCTATGGGTATCTTTACATTACTCCTGGTCAGGTTTGGTTACTAGATATCAAGTTAATGTACAGTAATGTTTTAAAACCATATATAGTTATGTACATGGGGCAGCCATGTATTTGTTTATTACAGAAACAGGCTCTGATTTTCAGTGTACAGCAGAGGTGTCAAAGATAGCTATGAATGTGGGCCAACACAAAATCGTGAATCTAATAATGTTGAATTTTTCTACTGGACTTTTATAAGTTATATCATCCTAAAGTTAAATCTTCCACTCTTCACCATCATGCTTTATTCAAGTCATCAGTTTTTGGCAGCACCTATATTTGTGAGCAACTATTTTCAAAGATGAAGCACATGAAGGGCAAAATTAGAACCAAAATATTTGATGAGCACCTTAAGAATTCATTGAGAATTGCTACTACATCCTTCGAACCACATATTGATGCGTTAGTTTATCCAAAACTGTGCCAAGTATTGCACTAGTTTTATGTTGCTCTTTTTTACGAATTAAAAATATTTTTTTAAAAAAATGAAGTTTTATCTATATTCATGATTGTTAAGTTATAATCTGCCCAATTTATAATGTGTCCGAATTTTTCTGCTCATCAGCTATCCTTTGTTAGGTTATTTTATGTGTGTCCCAAGACAATTGCTCTTCTTCCAATGTGGCCCAGGAAGGTCAAAAGGTTGGACACCCCAATGTACAGGGTTTATCTTACTGGAAACAGGAGACTCTCAGCAGCACCTAAGACTGCAAACACCCACAAGGTTGGTAGCCTTAAGACCACGTATTCATTCTGTAGGCTGTAAGTGACATGATGATTTTTTATTATGTTAACAAAAAAGTACTTTTTTTACCATAACATGTCATTCAGTGATTCTGTTAGGTCACACATTGATTTGTGTTTTAACTATTTAAAAGTAGATTGTTTATTCGAAGGCTGGTCATATTTTGTAACTTACAAAAGTAGACAACAATGGGTAGCAATCGTTCTTACCATCTTGGTTTTTAAGCCGGCCATATGCTGTTCGAATCTCGGCAGCTGCAGCAGGAAGATTCAAACCATGTATTCAGGCTGAAAGTACCCAAGTCGATCAAATTGGGTACATCCAGCCTGCCAGATTTTTTTGATAACTTTGGTTTGATTGAAAATGTTGCATGAATAACAATAACATTACATCAAACAGAGTATACTGGTTTTGAACATGAGCTTAGACAGTGGGAGGTGAGAGGGTATAACCTCCACTACCTTCCTAGGACTATACATAGCAAGACATTACATGTTCCAAATCTTTGCTATAGTAACAGATATATAATGGTCAATATGATCCTTGCTAAGAACAATGGAGGTTCACTATCGTATAGGGGAAACCCAATCCCAGTGTCTTATCAGGCGTAGAGAGATAAAGAGGAGAGAAAAGAAAGTAGGTTAGGCTAGAAAGCCTGCCAGATTTTACATGCAATTATTGCTAGTGGCTGTTATAGCCGCTAGCAATAATCACTGTGTTCTCCTGGCGGGGACGGCTTCCCCTGCCCGGAGGAAACCTGGAGAATAAAATGGCTCTGTGGGAGGGATTCCCCTGTCAACACTGTCTGTGTTATTGCGTTATTGAATTAATTTCTTTCCTGCAACACCTGGTTGCGGGAAAGAAATTCACTTAGTCTATGGCCAGTCTTACAGTTACAAAAATTTATTAGTACAGTGATTAATTCTGAGAACTAATCTTCCCACTGTTGATAAGGTCAAGAAGGATTATGTAGTCTCTGTGTAAACTGGCAGCTGCCTCACTTGTGTTTTGTGTTTTCTGTAAGCTTTGGAACAGACTGAACTTTGACTTTTTTTTGATTAGGCAGTCATTTTAATGAATGGCAAATACAAAAGGTACAATGTTTCCTAACCTGGGCTATGGCTGAACCTAAGTACTTATTCTAACCAAGTGCAATGGATGGTTCTAGAGTCAGACGCGGACTTTCATTTTATGTATTAGTCATCCCTTTTAAATTTCTTTTATCTTCATTCACAACCACATGACAGTGTGACAAATGAGTGCATGATCGTTACTGATAGATATGGAAATATGAATATGTATTATAGTCCCTATCTTTACTAGATGACTGATTTTTTACAGCACTGGTTTGCCACACCTAAAATCTTTTATGCTGGCCAATAGTATATAGTGGTTGGATACTACAAATCACACCTGTAAATATAGTCACCCTGTCATTAAAAAGGAGAAATAAAGCCAAAGCTCTTTTGGCTGTACTTCTCCTGTGGATCACAGAAGTACAGTTCATTCTGCACTCCTGTGACCCATTTTCAGCTGACAGCAGGCTGAAGCCCGCTGTTGGCTGATGTCACTCAGCCAGTCCAGGCTGGGGAAAGATCCTGACTTCAAAGTCGGGATCCACCCCAGAGGCTAGACCTGGCTCAGCTTCTCAGCGAGATGCTGAGAGCCTGAGCCAGTCGCTCCCTACCCCTCCACAGCCTAGCGCTCCAGCAATCATGTCATTTGTTCGCTGAGTTCTCACACTTAGAGCTGGCGGGGGGACAGATGCAGCATCCACCTTGGTATAACTGGGGAAAAAGAGTCTACAAAGGAACAAGCCTGTAAGGAAAACAGCTTCAGACACACCTGTTTGTTGGCCTGACTGCTTAAAATCCACATTGTAGCAGACTCCCCAGCCACCGATTCGATTTGACTCATTGAGCTTGTCAAATAGCGTACCATCCCCCCCCCCGGTCATTATAGTTCCTCATGCTGACCCATAGTTACTATTAGACACAATAGGGGTTGTTGGGAGTAGAAAGAGCAGGCATTGGGGGACACAGTATTCTACACACCTGGATATGTGGAATCAGAATGGTGCAGGAATCTTTGTTACAGCCTTACAATGATTGGAAACCCTCGCCTTGTAAAACAATCCATTCAGTTTAAAAGAGGAATGAAAGGCAAAAAAAGATATAAAAAAAAACCAAACATTATAAATACATTTTTTCCCTCTTTTATAACTGATCACATGCCCTCTGTTCTCAGCTGCATAAGAGCTGGGGGAGGAGAAACAGCAGTACACTCATATCCCCAGTGAAAGACTGGGGGGGGGGGGGCATTGCATGTCAGGAAAAGTCTGATCATTGGAAGAGAGCACACAGAGTTCCCAGCATAGTTAGAGAACTCACCACAATGTGTTCTACTGCTTAAAATGGTTGTAAAGGCTCGAGGTTTTTTTTACCTTCATGCATTCTATGCATGAAGGTAAAAAACCGGTGTACAGCAGTGCACCCAGCCCCCTCAATACTTGCCTGAACTTCATAGAGATTTAGCAATGTGCACGACTGCCTCCTCATTGGCTGAGACAGCAAGCGAGAGCCATTGGTTCCTGCTGCTGTCAATCACAGCCATTCAGTCAAAGAGGAGAAAGAGGGGGCAGGACCAAGCCGAGGCTCCATGTGTGAATGGAGCAGTGGGTGCCCCCATAGCAAGCTGCCTGCACCGGAGAAGAGGAGGATCCAGGCTGCTTGGTGCAAAACCACTGCACACAGCAGGTAAGTATAACATGTTTGTTATTTAAAAAAAAAAAAAAAAAAAAAAAAAAATATGAACATTTAGTATCACTTTAATGTGGTCAGTTTTAATAGGAATGCAGAGCAACTTGCAGGATCACCAGGGATATCACACAAAGGAAGCAATACAAAGAACAGTATACTTTTTCATACAAGTACATGGTTCAGTGGGCACATTTCAGTAATATGAAATGTTGGGTTTACATACTCTAAGTTCTAGCAACTGCGCCAGTAGACAGGTATGTCTTTGTGCTTTTGTAGACCTCTGACAGGGGTCTATTGCAGTTTCTTACCTGGAAATCCTGCCAGTAGCAGCACTCCCTGTTTCAGGCTAACACTAAGTCAATGCTTCACATTTTGCAGCAGCCATTGTCAGCCTGCTCCACCAGCTACATACATCTTCATTAACAGCACAGATTACACGGAGCATACCTGAAATTCCTTTTCTATCACAGCAGCTAAACTTTTTATCCTTTGGATTTGTTATGAGCTGATTAATGCAGAGAAATAGGAGTGGAAACACACAGATTTGACTGTAACAATTGATGGTGAGGTTTTTGAAGCCTTTTGTGGACTGTGCATGTTCAACCTTACTTAGAAAATTATAAAAAAAAATAAAATGGGGTAGAAAATGATAAAATATGACAATATGATGATAGGTTGTTACCTGGTCATATTAAACACAGATATGTCAACAGTGGCTATCAAATTAAACATTTTATATAACACTGAGGCGAGACAGCAACTGGCTTTTAACTTATTGTTTAAAACTGGACAGTTATGAAAAATAAAAATGTGTAAAATCACAACAGCCAATTAATTAAACAGTTATTACCTTTTATCATTCCATTCCACAATCCGAGTAAAGTCCATGTATCCTTTTGATCCACTGAGAAATACATATGTCCCATCATTTGTTGCATTCATCTGTAAAGAAACATGAAAATGCAATAAACTGGAAGTCTCAAAAGGGCATACACTATGGGTTAAATACTAAAATTCCCAACAACTGTTACAGGTTCTCCACCTATTTGTAACTCAGTGGATTCAAAACCATAAAACACTATTAAACAAAATACCAATTTTTAATTCATACGAATTCACCACTCCAATAAATATGGATACTGACTACAATTTTATTTATTAAATAATATACCTATAACAATTCAAGTGAATGTATTCAAATGCAAAGCCCTGCAAAATTCTCTAATAGCTACATCTTCCATACATATGTATAAATATGTATGTAGGAGAACTTGATGGAATTAAAATTGTTACAGGTGAATTCTTAGGAATTCATTTAACTGGCTTATGTCAGGTGATTTATTAAAAGAGTACATTTTTCACTTAGCCATCTTAACCTGTGCTCACTGTGAACACTCAAACGTGTACAGAGGAAATAAAAAAAAGGCGTTTCCTATGCACATGATTGGGTGCTTGAAGCTTCTCTTAGCTACTTTAAAACTGTACTCCTTTCCTGAATTAACCTCACAGTGTACCCTGTGTCTATGACATTGTGGGGGGTATTTACTAAAACTGAAAGGTGCAAAATCTGGTGCAGTTCTGTATAGAAACCAAACAGTTTCCAGGTTTTTTTTTTGCCAAAGCCTAATTAAACAAGCTGAAGTTAGAAGCCGGTTTGTTCTATGCAGAACTGCACCAGATTTTTCACCCTCAAGGTTTAGTAAATCTCCCGTTATGCTATTGTACTGCTATACTTCTGGGTCTAGGTAATATATTGGCTGTTTGATATGTACACTGGGTGATTCTTGAATGTTGCTTATCCTTATTAATATTGTTGATCATTATTGATTTTATGTACTGTAGTTCTGTGTATTACATAACAATATTAGGTATTAAAGCGGAGTTCCACTCAAAAGTAGAAGCTCCGCTTATTTGCCTCCCCCCCCCCCACACACTGCCATATTTGGCACCTTTTGGGGGGATCAGATACCTGTTTTTGACAGATACCCGCTCCCATTTCCGGCTCAGTTCGCCAAGGCGAAGTGAGCTTGAAGTTCAGCCCCCTCATCCCTCCCGTAGTCTCCTGGGAACTTTCACAGGTCCTGGAAGACTGCTGGACCAATTAGGATGCACAACGCGACTCGTGCATGCACAGTGGGCACCAGGCTGTAAAGCCTGTAAAGCACAAGCTGTCACAGCCTGGTGCCCACAGTTGAGATGCGAGAGGTAAGTGTGTGTTTATTAAAAGTCAGCAGCTACAGTACAGGGTCCCGGCTGGTGATTACTCACCAGTGCCCGGTGACTGCCGAGGATCTCCAACACGGAAGAGAACTGTATGTGAATAATACAGTTCTCCTCCCTGTCAGCTCGTGATTACAGTGAAGTACACACACAAAGCTTACTGTGAAACAGCACACAGTCAATCCTTTGATTGCCCCTCATGTTAACCCCTTCCTGCCCAGTGCCATTAGTACAGTGTCAGTGCTTTTTTTTGTTTTAGCACTGATCACTGTATTGGTGTCACTGGAGATGTCAGTGACACTAAGTCAGTTCCCCTCATTGTCAGAATGCCTCCCGCAGTCTCTGTATAAGTTGTTGATCACTGCTGTTACTAGTAAAAATAAAAAAAATTCCAGTATTGATACCGCCATTTCTAAACGCTATAATTTTCACGTAAACCAATTAATTTGAAATTTGATTTTTTTTTTTTACTGGACATGTTTAATAACAAAACATCAAAAATATTGTTTTTTTTTTTACAAAATTGTCAACTTTTTTTTTACAGCACAAAAAATTAAACATGCACAGGTGATCAAATACCACCGAAAGAAAGCTCAATTTGTGGGAAAAAAACGGATGTAAATTTAATTTGGGTGCAGCATTGCATGACCTCACAATTGTCAGTTAAAGTAACGCAGCACCAGAACGCAAAAAAAAAAAAATGGCCTGGTCAGGAAGGGGGTAAATCCTCAGGAGGGCAAGTGGTTAAAAAAAAAAAAAAAAAAAAAAAAAAAAAATGAGCCTTTAGTATCGTGTAAAAAAACAAATAAAACAGTCTTTTTATGAAAAAAGCAAACTAGTCACCATCCGGAGAATTTTGTGTGAGAATTATATACTCTGATTACATAAATGTATCATGATTTTTTGAACTATAAGGATGACCATACTAAAGAGCATCTAACAAATGTATTAAAAATTTCCAAAACAAGTTCATCTATGGATTTTAAATGAGATAATGTATCCTGGCAAAGGGGATGCTGTTCTAAGATCTTGACTATTATGAATTTATTCTTTGCAGTTATAAAGTGAGTTGCATGGGGCCCTGAAAACAGAATTCTTTTACTGGAGGTAAGATGCATAAATACCAGTGAAACTGCATATATCGTTATCACACTTGTGATTTACGGTAAAAAAAGAGTAAGTACACCCCATGGAAATAGTTGACTTTTTCGATATATTTGAAATATTAGATCTTGAACTTTTTGAATATATTTGAACTATTTATTATTATTATTATTATTATTATACAGTATTTATAAAGCGCCAATAGTTCGCTCAGCGCTGTACATTACAAAGGGGGACAGAACATGTGACAGAACAATACCAATACAATGTGATACACGAGGGGTTCGAGGGCCCTGCTCTTTCGAGCTTACAATCTATGACATAATGTATGTGCGCCCCTACATTTACAACCACTTTAAATCAATGAAATTAGAATCAGATATTTCAGGTTAGGTGACCATAATTAGAACCTCCTTAGGGAGCATGCAAAGGGAATCTGCCTTATTTAAACTTCAGATATCTGGGTGCCAGTGTTCTGCTACTGACATGTGTGTTGTCATTATGCCAAGGTCATTAGAGCTCTCTTTAGCTATAGATGTGCCTGGCAAGGGATTTAAAAATAGCGCTAAATGTTTTAAAATCAATCTTTCCTATGAAAGAAAAATAATCTACAAGTGAAGTAAACTTCAAACAACTGCTAATTTGTCCAGGACAAGCCAGTTTAGCAAATTTAGCCCAAAAAGGAATCTTCAAGAAAATAAAAAAGGACTTGTGGGGTAGCTTTGCAACAGCTGGGGGTCAAAGTAACAGTAGATAAGTTTGCCACAAACTGAAGACAGAATCCCATAACAACTGTGAAGCATAGTGGTGAAAATATCATGGTTTAGTGTTGTTTTTCTGCTTCAAAGCCTGGCAGCTCAGTCATGGAGTCATCTATACATTCTGCATCATATCAAATTCTGATAAGAGTGTAAGGCCTATTCTCTAAAAGATGAAGTTCTAATGTATGAGTCTTTCAACACGATAATTGGTTGTCATACTGATCAGTGGCACTTTTTTCAGATTTAAAATTCAGCTAAAAATGGTAAGATTGAACTGATGAGCTTCAGATGCAAGCAGGCTGTAATAAATCCCATTAATCTTCCTTAGTAAAAAGGATTGTAAAAAAATCATAAAATTCCATTGATACAGTTTGAGCCAAATCAGGGGCTATCTAAATCCAGTTAGCAGGTCTGTGCAGGGTTTATAAGCTCTGTCATAAATGGCTAAAGGACTATCATGAGCAGCTCTTAGCAGATGTATGGCAAAGCCAGAGCACTAATAAGCAAAGTCTTTTACTAAGCTTGTTGTAAAATGTATGGTTCATAAAGCCTTAACAATTACTAATGTGGATTTTAAATATTTTAGAATGCAGTTAAAAGGGAAAAGACATTTTAGTCCAAAATTTATACATACTTCATTAATGCTGAGATGATACAATTATGCTAATAACAAGCATCCACCCAAATGTATAAACAATTTTAAGACCAAACATCCCAATATTACAAGGTGGAGGAGGTGGATTAGATACATTCCATCTCTAAGGAGAATCTGCATCAAGTCCATATCACGTTTGATGTCTATCAAATCATGATTAAATGGCGTGCAATAGTAGGTTGGTTGTCTCACTGTAAAACATAGGCATTTGGAAATACTGACACAGTTACAGAAACTGACATCAAATTATAATAAAACACTTCAATTCACACTCCGCACCCTCCTCAGACCCTTATGATTAGTCGAGAAATCTCAGTAAATTTCCTTCTCAGGGACCAGAAGAGATGGGTGCCTCTGTGGATTCCTGAAGCCGGAATTGACAGGTGTGTGAATAGCTGCAGCCGCTGAGCCCATATAATGCAATGGCAGGCTGTTGTGCCACAGCTACTTGCACACCATCTGTCAATACCAGCCACAGGATTCCTGCTGCTGAAACTCGCAGTGTGTTATTGGCCATTCAAATGGAACCTGCTAGCACTTAGATTACTCTTCCATAAACTGGAAAATTTCTGTGCATGTTGAGACTAAGAATGCAATCTAGAATGTACTGTATATTGTTTTTAGAACTGTCAAATACATTACATTATCATTAAAATTTTAATGTCTGTTAATTTTTTAAAACATAAAAAAAAACTACATTGTTGAACAATCCAAATGTCTCACTGATGTTGGAATCCACTCTATGAGCCAAGGAAAGAAGGGAGTCATTGTATCCCCATAGCATTTCATGAACAGATCGAGTGGTGAACATTCCTTCCTTGTACGCCTCCAGTATTCCTTCAATTATATGTCTTAATAAATCTGCATATTTGTTTTTTAAGACCATCTCCAGCAGAGTCTAAAGTAACAATGAACATCAATGCAATGATTAGAAAATGTTTGCACATTAATTTTTTTTATTTACACTGAAATCCTCCAAAGAGTTAAGTCTTTCTATATACAGATATGTTTTTTTTTTTTTATCTAGAATTCATACACACGTGAAAAAGTATTTGCCCCCTTCCTGATTTTTTTTTCCATATTTGTTAAACGATTCAAATCATCAAACAAATTTTAATATTACACAAAGATAACCCAAGTAATACAAAATGCAATTTTTAAATGATTTAATTTATTAAGGGAAAAAGGCAGTCCAAACTTGCATGGCCCTATGTGAAAAAGTAATTGCTAAATCAATAATGTACTGTGATTAATCATATTTTTGTAAAGTTGATCTGTTGAATCAAGAAATCACTTAAAGAGAAGCTGTCTGACAAAGTGAAGCATGCTAAAAGATCTCAAATAGCAACACCTCATACCACGAAGAAATTCAAAAACAGACGACAAGCGAAGTAATTGACATGTATCAGTCTGGGTTACAAAGCCATTTCTAAGGCTTTGGGACTCCAGTGAACTATGGTGAGAACCATTATCCACAAACGGAGAAAACTTGGAACAGTAGTGAACCTTGCCAGCAGACAAAATTTCTCCAAGAGCACAACGACGTCTCGTCCAGGTGGTCATAAAAATCAAAATCTAAAGAGCTGCAGGCCTCACTTTCCTCAGTTAAGGTCCATGTTCATGATTCAACAATAAGAAAAAGACTGGGCAAAAATGGCATCCATAGGACAGTTCCAAGACAAAAGCCACTGCTGAAAAAAAATAACACAAAGGCTCATCTCACATTTGCAAAAAAAAATAATGATTATCCCCAAGACTTTTGGGCAAATATTATGTGGACTGATGAGACAAAAGTTGAACTTTTCGGAAGGTGTGCATCCCAATACAGTGGGCGTAAAACTAACAGAGGGAGCAAAGATCATCATACCAACAGTCAAACATGGTGGTGGTAGTGTGATGGCCTGGGGTTGCTTTGCAGCTTCAGGACCTGGACAACTTGCCATAATTGATGGAACCATGAATTCTGCGCTCTAACAGAAAATCCTGAAGGAGAATGTCCGGTCATCTGTTTGTGACTTCAAGCTCAAGTGTACTTGGGTTATGCAGCAGGAAAATGATCTGAAACACACCAGGAAGCCCACCTCTGAATGGCTCAAAAGAAACAAGTGGCCTGTTGGAGTGGCCTAGTCAAATTCTGGACTTAAATCCAATTGAGATGCTGTGGCATGACCTTAAACAGGCTGTTCATACTTGAAAACCCTCCAAAGTGGCAGAATTAAAACAATTCTGCAAAGAAGAGTGGGCTAAAAAGTCTTCCACAGTGACGTGAAAGACTCCGTGCCAGTTATTGCAAACGCTTGATTGCAGTGAATTACTTAATTACAGCTCTTAGGTTTAGGGGGCAATTACTTCTTCACATAGGGCAAAGCAGGTTTGGACAGCTTTTGTCCCCTAATAAATGAAATCATAATTTAAAAACTGCATTTTGCATTTACTCAGGTTATCTTTGTGTAATATTAAAATTTGTTTGATGATCTGAATCATTTAAGTGTGAAGAATATATATATAAAAAAAAAATATAAAAAAGATTTTATATATATATATATATATATATATATATATATATATATATATATATATATATATATAAAATAACAATAAAAATCAGGAAGGCGGCAAATACTTTTTCACAGCACTGTATATACTGGAGTAGGTCTGCTCCCTTATCCATGCTCTAGTCATGGATATGGGAGGGGACATGCTCTAATTCAACCTTCATAACACTCCATTTGCACCCTGGCCATTTGGCAATCAAATGATTATCTGTCAGCCTCAAAAAGAGCATACACGAATTGACTATTTGCAGATAATCATCTTATATCCAAATATGTGTAAATCAAATATTTCAGCAAAGGAGGAGGATTTGAACAAAGCTGGAAAGGGTTAGACCCACTATCAGGTTTTATTGTCATGGTTCCATTTGGGAGGCGATAAAAAAATAAAAATCTCCATCCTATGTCAAATTAGCAATCTTGTAATTTGTCAGCAAATCACTAGCAACAAGATTGCTTAAGAGACTGCTCACCCTCCAGCATTGTTCCCTCACTGGCCAAAAAGCTGCAGAATCTCACTTGCTAGATCAAGAGCATTGACAATGCAACAGATCGGTGGTTCAGCCAACAAAGCAGCAACACCATAGCAGCACGCAAGTATTCTTCCTGCTCTTTTAATGGCTGTCACTGGCTGCCAACATCATTACTGTGACATGGACCCAATTTGGACACAGGTGGCCAAAAAAAATTGAAGTTTTAAAACTTTCCACCTAACAACATCAAAAGGTATCTTTATTGCGGTGTGTTTTACTGGTGGAAACAACAAATAACCTGAAGGACACTGACAAAAAAATCCTTTTATGCTCCATTCAAAATTGGAAAAAATAGCTTTAGCCACATGCACGTTTTTGCAGTGTTTCACTTTTGTATGCTTAGAAAAACTGGACAGGATGTGCTGGAAACCTGAGGATTCTTTGTGTGATTAATTTGTATCCTCGTAATGTATCCTTGTAATTGTTATCACATCTTGCCGTAAATGTGTAAGCATAAAAAGTTTGAATTTTGGGCTGGCAACATCTACACACTGTATGCCTTCCACAATCACCTTGGGTTGTGGGAAGGATGAGTAATTAAGAGTTGAAAAGCCACACCATTATATTCAAGTCTAAACACAAGTTCATTCCAATTATATTATTGGAATAATCTTGTGTCTGGACTTGATTACAGTGTGACACTTCGATTCTTAATTACTCAACCTTTGACTTGTGTATGACTGTTACAAGCAATATGTGCTTTTTGATAAAAAAACGTTGGTATGCTAACACTGTTGTTGATTTATTTCATGTCTGCAATAGAGCTTAGTGGAGGTATGTTTGACACAAACATGATCTAAGTAAATATTTTGCTCTTCATTTATAGGTTATTTGTGCAATATATATTATTTAGTTTGAAATTGATATCTTACCACAACTGGAATATTGACAGTTCGTATTAAGTCAGTACTTGGGTTTCCTATAGATAGACCAGCTTCAAATACGTATGTTTTTGGGTTGACAGCTGACACTTCTGTTCCATTTTCAAGAAACATAATATTCTCTTTAGGTCTATACTCACTACAATAAAAGAGATTGAAGAAAACACACAATTCTTAATTTCAAGATCAAGTGGTACAAATATATATTTTTTCAAAGGACAGCACTTTGAACAAAATAATGGGTATATTCATGCATATTATGCAGACTGTCTGAGGAGGCTTTTAATCCTATGTGCAGCTAAGGGCACTTTGGAATAAGTGTGACAGTGCACATATATACTGTATACAATTACTTTCATGTTGTATGTCTTCCTATATGACTGTGGATTTAATATTCATGGAAATCTGTCACACGTTAGCCTGCAGTCTCTTGTATGTGTATTCTTACCTCCTTGCTGCAATGCTGTTCCGGATCTCTTTCACGTGTGGTTTGTCTGTGCTCACCTATGGGCGTCATCTGCTGTTCTCTGGGTTTTATTTCCTTCCCTTCCATCACTTCCTGGCCCGCCTCCTTGTTTGCCTGCCTATATATAGACATGCTCAGTCTAGGCCACTTTGCCTGAGCAACGTCCTAGTTGTCTGTGCTCCTGTGTGTTGCTACTAACTGTATCCTGCATTGACTACTTGTGTACCAACCCCGGCTTTGTTCTGTGACTGTGCTTGTTTTCGGTCTGCCCTCGGCTAGTCTATCAGATTTCCATTTGTCTCCTCCCATGGTACTCTGCTCCCACAAGCGGCCTCCTCATCCTCAGTTGGGAGTACCTGGGGGCCGCGACCTGGTCCCAGCTTGCTGCAAGTCCATCCCCACCATCAGGGGCTCTGGTGAAGAAGCAGGCTAGGACCAGGTTGTGGCCCCCAGGTACGCCCAGCTGAAGATGAGGATACCGCTCGCGGGAGCAGAGTACCATGGGAGGAGACAAACGGAATCCGATAGGTTAGCCGAGGTCAGGACAGGCAGAAAACAAGCACAGTCAGAGAACGAAGCCGGGGTCGGTACATAAGTAGTCAATGCAGGATATAGGCAATAGCAACACACAGGCGCTCAGACAACTAGGCAGGTGCCCAGGCAAAGTGGCCTAGTCTGAGCATGTCTTATATAGGCAGGCAAACAAGGAGGCGGGCCAGGAAGTGATGGAAGGGAAGGAAATAAAACCCAGAGAACAGCAGACGATGCCCATAGGTAAGTACAGAGAAAAACATGTGAAAGGGATCAGGAACAGCATTGCAGCAAGGAGATAAGAATACACAAACAAGAAACTGCAGGATAACTTGTGACAGAATCCTATGAAAAAGAAAGTTCTCAGTTACTCTCTTATTGAAGTCTTATGGTCTCTGTAAATGTTGTTATCTTTGTGTGAGGAGGACTTTTCACAAATAATACATTTATGATGGTAGCCATCCTGTTGTGATCGTTAAAGACCTAGACAACTTCACCAAAGAAAAGGATTTTTTGGAGGATTAGTTTTACAGGGTATATACAGAAGTGAATATTGTTTTGAGAACTGTGCATAACATTGCTTCAATAGAATTACATTTGCCTTTAAAGAACTTAGGAACAACCATATACTCACTTTGAGTGTTTATCTAGGATCTTAAAACATTTGGAGAGTCATACAAGGATAGCAAGTCGGTTGATCAAAAAAAGAAAAAAAAAAAAAAACCCAAACAGATTCCTCCATCCGCACACATTCAAGCTGGATGGGTGAATCTCTCCTCTGAGCTTGTATTCTGGCAGGGGGACTCCTCCACTGCCAGAATACAGTTATCAGTGCTGCACCAGAAAGTGCAATTACTTTCTTCTAAAATCTCAAATTTAGTGCACTGCGAAAGGAGACCTATCAGAATTCCTTACAAAAGCTATTACGTAGTCCTATTTTATGTAATAACTCAAAGATGGGATATACTCTATGTAAGATAAAAGGTTGCGTCAGCTTATGAAAGAGCGATAAAGACACAAGCGGCACAGACTGAAATATTTAATCCCAAATGTCGTCCATTGGGGGACCAAGATCCGTTTCCCTTTGTTTTTTTTTTTTTTTGCAGAATAATGGGAATTTAAGCAGAAATTTAGTAAACAGCTGAGCAAAGGAATGATAAATGAGACTTTTGGAATTGTCTGCTTGGACAAAAGTATTAAATAGAGGAGTTGCACCAATGTTTAAATTATGTAAGCCTGGAATGCGTGACAAAGCTATAAATATTGATAACAGAGTTTCCGACCTAAATTCAAATCTGACTGCAGCTGTTGAAAAGATTTAGAATGCTGTTCTGCACTTTTATGGAAGATAGTAAGAATAACAGCAGTTTTCTACATCTGAAATTTCTGTAATTTTAGAATTTCGTGGTATAAATCTGGCCATACACTGTTAGTTTTATTTAATTTATTCAGCCAGCTGGCTGGAAAAAAAAAAACTAACAAATTCAGATATCATAGCTAAATCACATTTGAATGTATTCAATGTGATTTGTAGGTAGTGATTGCCATAAATGTATTCAGTGTAGGCATTTGTGAGAGGCATGTGTACAAACATATTGTAATTTCAGTTTATGTGATTGTATTGTAGTTTTGCAGAACTATTCACAGAAGTAAATTCAGTCAGTTTTGTAAGCAAGGTGTCCTCTAACCCTTAGTAGGACAGCTTAGTAAAATTGGATCTGTATACAGGAGAAGATAGAGAAGCTTCACAGTAGAAAGGTGTCTGTATACAAACAAAGATATAGAACCTTCACAGTAAAAAGGCATATTTAAACAGGCGAAGATAAGAAGCTCCAGTGAAAGAATCTACATGAAAACTGTACTTTAATTCATACATTTAATTCATACTACTCCACTTTAATTCATACATCATGGATCTAGATAGGAGAGTGGACATTCCGCATCAAACTTCAGGGACCAGGTCTCACATGTCTGGCTGCAGATATCCAGTGCATTCATCAGATCATCAGCCAGTTGTGCATGCCTCAGAGTGAGAAAAAAGGCAGAGGCAGTGTGAACAGAGGCCTTATACGTTCAAAGCGAAGCTGACTTGATGAAGCAGAAAGCAGAGTTAGAAACAACCTCCTTGAAGCAGAAAACGGAGTTAGAAGCCAACTCCATGAGGCAGAAATTAGAGCTTGAAGCAAGTATGGGTGTCCTGTAGACTCAAAGGGCAGCAGCATCAGCAGAAGCTGTGGTATATGAAACTGCTATTGGTTCTGAAGGAGATCAGCTCCAAGATCTTGAGGAAATAGCAACTGACAATTTAGTGCAAAAAACTCAGGAATATGTACAGAACCATGCTCCAGACCAAGTTACGAAAGAGTAAGCTTCTAGCAAGCCTATCTCCCAACACTTTCCCACAGTTTCCTAACTTGACATACCGACAGCCCTTTCCAGAAATGTCTGTACTGTCTCCTGTTTTTCACATTAACTCTGAAGCTGTCCCAGCACCAAGGGTATATGTTCAAGAAAACAAAGACAATTTTAACCCTCAGCATCCATGACGTGACATGGGTTATCATGTATCCTCCTTCAGAAAGCATCTAATTTGGCAAAAATGAGTGAACACCAAGCTATTAGCATTTGATGATTGCCCCCAGAACTATTGGGTATGGAAGACATTTTTCCAAGACATCATCAGAGATCTCAATCTTAAGGCTGGAGAGAAGCTAGAACTGCTATCAAAGTGGCAAACATTCATGATCCAGCTACTGGGGTAAAATGGTATGGCAGAAATTAGAGGACTGTTATGGCAGCACTGAAGCTATTGAGAATGTTCTGTTGATGAAACTGGAAGATGTCCCTAAAATCGCTAACAAAAACAACCTAAAGTTCAGAGAACTTGGTGACACGTTGTTGGAGGTCAATGCAGCCAAAACCTAAGGCCACTTACCAGCACTGGAATTCCTAGAGACAGCATGCAGGATTAAACCAATAATTGAAAAGCTCTCATACAGTCTGCAAGACAAGTGGATTTCCCAAGGCTCCAAGTACAAGGAAGAACATTATTTTATTTATTACAGGTACTTATATAGCAGCGTCAATTTACGCAGCGTTTTTTACATATATATTGTACATTCACATCAGTCTCTAACCCTCAAGGGGCGTACAATCTAAGGGCATGTTTTCCTTCCCACCAGTTTCTTCACCAAGGTTATCATCAACCAAGCAAAGATTAAAAATTACCCAAGTTTCATATTCTCGACGTGCAGTAACCAGATGTCAGCAAACATAGACAAGATAGGAGCGAAGCATGGCAACATACCATCATTGTCAATCAGAAAGACAGAGGTGTCAGCCACTGATGCAGCTTTACATCTTAACAACTCTAAAAAGAAGTCAGACCCAGACAGTTCATGCCCAATCCATAAAAAACCACACCCATTGTTAAAGTGTTGTGGATTCAGGAGCAAGCACACTGATGAACGTAAAACTTACCTGAAAGAAAATGCTGTTTCAGATTTTGTGCATCCACCAAACACATTGCTAAAAACTGCAGAGTCAATATATGTTGCAGAGAGTGCAGTAGTGACAGGAAATACCACAGCACTGCATCCAGGCCCTTGGGCAACAGAGACTCTAATCAACAAAAAGCAAGGCGGGGAGGAAGATGAACCAACCCCATCAACTGTTGTCTCCAAGTGTATGGAGGTGTGTGCAGAAGAGACAAGGCCCAGATTGTGTTTTGTGAAAATGTATGCAGTGTTAGATGATCAAAGTATTCGCTCATTAGCCAAGTCAGAGTTCGTTAATGTGTTTAACATTAGTGGTGAAAAGTTTTCTTACACACTAAAAACATGCTCAGATACTATAGTAAAAATAGGGAGTAGGACATCTAATTTCATGGTTCAGTCTATTGATGGAAAAACACACATAAAACTTCCGGCTGTTGGAATGTGACATGATGCTGGATGGCAGGTCAGATGTACCAACCCCTGAGATTACACAGCATTTCCCTCATCTAAAAATCCTTAACAAGTAAGATCCCTGTAATTGACCCTAATTCCCAAATACTACTCTTGCTACGGAGAGAGATTCTCAGGGTGCACAAGGTGTGTGAGCAGATTATCGGACCCACAAGGCTCCTTATGCCCAATGTT